CCTGTGTTGTCTTTGCTTATCTGTGTTCCTGGCGTCTTCCCAACCATGTGAGTTTTGCCGTGCCTTCAAGCCTGAAATTCTTGCTTCTGCCCTGCCAAACTAATTACTTCAGTTTGGTTTGTTTGGACTTTAAGTTACAGTTTGTGTTGCTCATGTTTTGGATTTAATTTTCTGCAACCAAAGGCTGCTCCTGGGAGAGTTTTTCTCCACCCAGAAGGTAACCTGGACATTGGGGGCAAAGTTGGAGATAATAAAGGGACTCTTATTGCTTATCTGACTGTGTTGCTTTTGTGCCACGCCCATTTGGGTCATCACACTTGTTTTCATGTGGTGGTGCCACAGTCTGTACAAAGAATGGAGAGTTTTAGGCCAATGTGCCACATTTCCACTTTCCCTATTCAAACAAAGCTTACATTTAGTATATTCTTACACTCTGGCAGGGTAGGAGCGGCTGGGCTACTGTGAAGCATTAGGCTTTCAAATGCTGAAAAGCAGCTGTACACCCAGATAATTTTGTTCCAGTTGTTTATGATTTACGTATTGAATATTACTGACATTTATCGCTATATTTCACACATGGATTCCATTTATATGTTGCCATCCTGCTCAACGAAACTTTTACTGCTATCCTGCTGTCCTTTAAACACTCAAGGAAGTATTGGTAATAGCATTAAACTGGCAAGTACGGGTAGTCCTCGACTTACGACCCACCATCGAGCCCAACGTTTCTGTTGTTAAGCAAAGCATTTGCTAAGTGAGTTTTGCCCCATTTTATGACCTTTCCTGCCACCGTTGTTAAGTGAACCACTGCAGTTTATTAGTTAGTAACCCAGTTGTTAAGCAAATCTGGCTTCCCCATTGACTTTGCTTGTCAGAAGGTCTCAAAAGGTCACAGATATGAACCAGTTGCCATCATGGGGATGCTGTAAAGGTCATGTGTGAAACTTGTCCATAAGTCACATACGCACACTTTTGGCACACAGCGTGGAAAAGGTTAGCCATCACTGATCCAGGAGATCCACACTGCTAAACGATCTAGATCTGATCTGAGTCGTGGTGGCACAGTGGTTAGAATGCAGTAATTCTAAATTCTGCTGATTGCCAGCAGTTCGATCCTGACCAGCTCAAGGTTGACTCAGCCTTCTATCCTTCCGAGGTCAGTAAAATGAGGAGCCAGACTGTTAGGGGCAATAGGCTGACTCTGTAAACGGCTAGGAGAGGGCTGTAAAAGTACTGTGAAGCGGCAGATAAGTCTTAAGTGCTATGGCTATATACTGTTCTGTTCTCAGGTCTCTCCAGATCTCTTTTACAACCCCAGCACCCTTGAACTCTGCTGGGAAGAAAGGCTTGATCCGTAGGCCCAAAAGCTACCGAGCAGTTAATGTGAAGGATTTCGAAGGGGGCCTTGAACAAGACTTGTTGCAGATCAAAGATGGTGAGTCCAATTTGGGGTTTACTGTTGTCCTGGTGTGCTTGTTAAAGAGAGAGCATCCTGGGAACTAAGTGGTCAGAATGGGTTATGATCGGTTTGGAGCAAGGGTGGGATTCAAATTTTATAACAACCGGTTCTGTGGGTGTGGCTAGGTGGGTATGGCCATGTGACTGGGTGGGTGTGGCTTTTTCCTTTTTTTTGGGCAGCCCCCCCCCCCCCCCCCCC